CAATCCCATTCAATTATTTTCGTGGAAAAATCGGAATATTAGCCAGCCTTTTCCAAAAAACCCGATCCCGTTATTTGATTTGACCACAACTCGATACTTCGCAACATATACACAGCATTGTTGGCCTAAAAGCACAACAATGAACACATTAGTAAATTGTGATGGTGTTGTTTGTATCGAGTTTTAACTAAATATAACTATCGTTAAAAATTATTTTCAATTAAAAACAAACATGTGGTTATCTTCTCCGAATAAAAAATAATGAAATAAAGAGTTCCAAAAACACCAAAAAATAAATTACAGCAAATGTTTAATAATTTTGACAGACATAAATCAAAGGGCAACACAAAAAAACGATAATACAAATAACAATATTGTTTTGTTATTGGATATTTTAAAAAAGATGTTTTCACTGAAATGCTCAAAGATAATGTCGACTTTATAAAACCCAACAAAGATAAGTTATCAAATCATTTTGATATTTTTATTGTTCTTGTGACAACACTATTAAACATACTAATCTACGAACTAAGCTTTTGTTTTGTGAATATTTCATTAATTAATGAATTGTTTGATAATGAAAAAGATTGACATTAAGTTTATTTGCTTTTGTACTATAATGCACTTTTGGGATCATTTGTGTGTTTTTCTGAAACAAAAATCCCGTTATTTCAAATTTTATATGGATTTTTTTAATGCTTAAAAATTCTTCAAGTAAAAAAATATTTTTTGAAGACCGTTTTTCTCTTTTTTACTTGGAAAAAATAAGCGAATTTATTACAAAAAACGATTCCCAAAAATAATAAACAAAATAAACGCAAAAAATCGGGACACCACAGTACAGACTTTTGAAAAACAGTTTATATGAATAACATTACTATTTTTTTCATATTTTTAAAGAAACAACCTATTAGGCATTACTTAAAATTATTATTCAAATATATGTTATAACTAATATGTATGACACAACTGTGTTAGACTTTTAATTTATATAACATACAAAAAATAAAACGTGCAAACTTTTTATATCATATAAATGTTACATCAAACCAGAACTAAAAATTGTTAAATTAAAACTAAATAATGTTATATTTAAAATAACTTTTAGTTTACCGATTTAAATATATATATATTCATTTGTATGCGTGTTATAACAATCATATTTCTGGTATTGGAAGGGTTGAACGGATTTAAATTCAAAATTCATGGATTTTTGTTTCTTTGTGTCAAAAAACATAGAATATAAAAAGCAAACTTGGTTTAATTCAGTATAAAATCAAAAACGGTCAAACAAAAATGTTAATGAAATGTTTAATGTCTTTACCATTAATATAATCGGACATTTTTTTATTTTGTAACAAAATGGATTTTTTTAAAGAACAGTTCTAAATTTGAAGAGAGTGTGTGTTCAATGTTGTCGAGTAATATGTGTGTTTTGAGAATGTGTGGTGAATGGAGTTTACCCCATATTGATTGGTGCCAATTCAATTTTGAAAAGATAACTGATTCTAGTAACGAATCTTTTTTTACTTTGCTTGCCTAAAAACTTTTAAACAATAATTCTTTATCAAATATGAATATAAACATGTTATCAAAAAACGAAAACACTGGAATTGTAACAATAAGACAAACGATTTAAGGCAAAGATGACAGTTTTTGTACAAGTTATTATCAGAAAAACAAACTGATCAAACATTTTACAATCAATTTTTATACTGGCTTTTTTCACTTTCATGATATTTTTTTTAATTTTGCAACAATCAAAAAAGATTTGATACAAAAAATGTTTGAATTGAAAGTTATGTTAATTTTTATTTAACACTTTCACAACCCAAAACTTTTTTTAAGAAAAAAAATAAGTAAAAAAGAAATTGTCCAAACATTTTTTTATTATTTTTTATTCAAAAACCCTTTTCTAACCCAAACCGGCCAATAGTCAGTTTTATTTTACTTAAAATAATTAACAAATGAGAACTTAATTACTTAAGATTGAT